AGTGGGGCGGCAAGCACTTGACTTTTGAAGGCAAATGTAAATTGCTGCGTGCTTATGGCAAAACAGGTGCAAAAGGCTGAAACCTTGGGTACTGCACCCTGGTCTCTTGTTCACGGCGCGCAACTCCACGACATGCAGGATTTGCTTTGAGAAAGGACCTCACAATTCAGCCAAACTTTGTTTCTTCCTTGGATCGCAATGCCACCAGATCCGCCTTCCCTACAGGCAGGGTGGGGCCAATATCGCTGCCGGCCTTCTGCTTGCAGCCTGCCAGCTTCATGATGGCACCCTGGCCACCCCGGACCACCAGCAGCTTGGCCCAGTGCCAGCCATCCTGCGGCTCCTCATTGACTCATGCGTCTTCATGAAACTCTTTCTCCCACCCCACCTCTCTACTGCACTGAATTGATAGTGGCGATGTTCCATGGTTATGGCGTGCTCACAATGGATGGTGAAAGGCAATGGGCTATGCCGTATGTGTGAGCATGCGCGAGCCACACAAAAAGCCGCTGCGTGGCAGTGTCCTCGTCTTCCTCAAGAAACCTCAGTGCAAAGGCACCAACGCAAGACAGGGCATGCACCGAAACAAGCACTACGGAAGCGCAAGTAGAGTGCCAGCTCCCGATTTGAATGAGGGGCCTCTAAGGAGTCTCAAGGTTTAGTTTGAGACCGGATGGGTCCCGACCCTTTTTGTTTAAGTTCATGCTCTTTCATGTCATTAAATTAACTGGACATTCTGAGCATGTCATTCTCCAATCAACCCGAAACAGCTGGCATGTGTTTCATAAAATATTGAGCTGTTGGCCGGCCACTTTCTCAGAACTCATCCACCCCTCAATCATTTTCAGACAAGGAGAACCCAGGATACACATAGCTCTCCTTCTCTTACTTTGCTGCGTCCTTTCCTCTTCTTGCTGCGTGTCATCGTTATTTCTTTCATGTCTTGCTGTTTGTACATGCATTTTCCTTCCCACTTTCCCTCTTTCCATCTTATTGTCTTTCTTTCTTTACTTCTCTCTTTCTTTCCTTCCCTTTTTTTGTTTTCTCTCTCTCTGTCTCTCTTCCCCCTCTTCTTTCTCTTTGAATCGTTCCTGAATCCGCCCTCCCTATCTATCTAGCTACCTTTCTATCTATGTTAACATGCTTCTCTGTCTATCCATCTGCTACGTTCCATCTAAGCATTTATCTCTCTAGCTACCTACGTATTTATGAAATTACTCTATCAAACTGTTCTATCTAGCTGTCTACCTCTATTTATCTTAGCTCTCTCAACCGACATATCTAACAACCTAGCTCACTACCTACCTGGGGTCAACAAATCAGAACCGCGGGTCAATCCATTTCCTTTGTGTGGGAGATATCAATTTTGCAGGAACTGTACAACTGGGGCACATTGAGTGGTACATTCCCATGCGTCACCTGAAGCGTGCCGAGTGCGTCTAGGTGGCTCTTGAGCCGTCATGGCCGCATCTCCATACAGGCTCAGCTGGCATCACATTACCAAAATCGTTCTTTTGGATGAGCCTTGTTGGTCCCTACAAAACTGCAAGAAGGTCCTACTCTTCTAAATTTCAGGAGGCGTGAGCGCGAAAAATAAAAAACCCTTAGCATGGCATCTTTGCTGCAATGGCTCTGGTTGCCCAACTCGTTTTGACATGGGAAGCTTTGCGCTGTTACCCATTTTGCCCATGTCTCACACAAGTTGCAAATCTTGGCATCGCTGGGGCCAAAGGCTGCGGTCTGCCATCCCTTGGTTGGTGATTGATGCGTACTTTTCTGTTGACTTTTAGAACAACTAGGTGACTGAGCTCACCGTGCTTGCAATGAGTGGCTTACGTTTTTCCTTGCCGGGACATGCTGAAGGAGGGCCACACCAATATCCAAGCCCTCCAAGTCCTTTCCGCTATGAATCTGCGAATTCAACGCTGCCCCGAGTTGCCGCCCTATGGCAAAGCACATCCAGAAGTTGCCAAGTGCCCTCATCTGAGATCAAGGTCAGCTAAGCGTGAATGGCCATCTTGCTTCTCGCTGTTCTCTTGAAGTGGCTTCCTTTATTGTGGTCGGTTCTGTCAAGTTAAGGTGGCGGTCTGCGCTTTTCTCTTTTGCGAGCCCTGCGAAGCACTAAGTTCTGCACGCAGCACGCAGCCCCTTTGCTTCTCCCAAACTCTTTGGCCTGTAGCCCGAGGTACAAGGCAAACCATGCCGTCGCCAAACAAACGGATGAGGGCCGGCAAAGACTCAATCAAGCCACAGCACGTGGGGACAGCATCTATATAAGGCCGCTATCAATCATTAACAAGGCAAAGCTGCCAACAACTTCGAGCTCACAGGTTCTTGCGCAGCCTGATGCCAACCCACGAAATGGTCCTGGAGCCCCTGTTTGTCAGGACCATGCTGAGCTGCAAACCACTGCTATCAGAGTGTGACTCAGCATGAGGGCGGCCTTTGAAGCGCCTGCACTGGTCTGAAGCTCGCCGGAATTAATGCTGCACTGAATTCTCACAGGCTCTTGCGCATCTCACGCTGCCCAATGATTACCTTGGATTTGTGCAACGCAACCACTGTGCGCTGAATGAAGCTGCACTCCTCGACTTGAGTTTGCAGGAGTGCCGAAGTCCGAGCAACCCAAGGTACACTCGGCCCAAGAGAAGAACAGGGTACAGTGGTATGCCACAGCTGCACGTAAACATGGGCTTTCACCAAAAAGGACTCCCTCAAGTTGCCCAGGTTGACGTGATTTTTCTTTCTACACCCATTGGGTGGCTTGGAAGATTAAAAATGAAAGCACTGTTTCAGGGGTCTGCAAGCTTAGGAACCGCTCATGTGACTATGGGCCAGTAACACTTCTGCGGCCCAGCAGCCGCTGCTTCTTGGCTTGTCGCGCCCGGATGCTGTTGATCACTGTGAGGAGCTTGTGCTCGGCATTCTGGCAGGGCCAAGGGCCCAAGGCCAATACGCGGACCCTGGTTCTGCCCGCTTTTGCCTCGCGCGCCCTTTACGCGGCAGCCCAAAGCGCCAGCCAAAAGAGCCCAAACACAAGAAGTCACCATCACTGGAAAGAAACAGGCCTCGGCCCGCTGCGCTTGCTGCTCCAATTGGCTTTGCAGCTCCTGGCTCCATGGCACTGCATGACGGATGTGGGAAGAAGGTTCGAAGGTCTGTGGCTTCAGCCAAGGGAGAACCAAGGACTCGCAAATCCTGAATCGATTGATTTGGGGATGTGGGACCCTTCACTTTGCCACAATTCAACTCGCCGGATCTACAAATCCGGGGCCAACATCATGTAAGAAGCTCAAGCTTGCGTGCCTCCTGCGCCTGCGCTGCAGCAGCAAGCTGCTCTTCAAGTGCATGAGCCTTCCGAAGCTTACCCCACGATCTAGCTCTAGAATGGTCAAGCCAAATCAAAGGAATGAAAGCTGGCCGCGCCTTACATGTTTGGAGGGTTTGATTCTGGCTCACTTGGGCATTCAGCTCATTCCCAAAGACTCTCGTTCCGGAAACCTGCTTCCTCTACGATATTGGCCCCCAGGCCCCCCATTCGGTGGCAAAGCAAATCTCCAGCGGGCTGCCTTGGCCCCCGCATCTGCTGCCTTGCTGACCGCCTCTGTGCAACATGCGGACCCAACAACTTTGCTTCACATGTTTCTGAGAGTTGAACTAGCGCCAATTCACAATCTTGTCGCAAGACCCAATGGGCTAGGCTCAATCCCATCTTAAGTGCCTCTTCCGGGTGTCCCTGTTCAAGCAGCAACCCCTGCAAAGCCTGTGCCTCGCTCATTGCCTCAGAGTCAGAGTTCGCGTCCGACACCTCACGGACGAAGGGTGCTCGCTTCCTTGTCAAACGTGTGCGCCTTCAACGCCTTATTGACTACTGGAATGGTCGCATGTTCAGGGCGAGATTTTCGTGATCTGTAGAGTTGGGGGCTCCAGCGCTTTGCCCAGGTGGACCTTCAAGAATCAGTCGGCATACTGGGAGCACCACACGCTGCATCTGCCTTTGCGTTTGTTGCCGCTCCTGGCAGCGCACATCAATTCTCTAGTCCTTGTCAAGGATGCACATGAGCAACAACAGTAGTGCCCCCTCGTGGTTGGTAGTGAGCTCGGCTTCCAGAATGGGAATCCAAATCCAGTACATCAAACTCAGGGCATGGCAAGACATGTCTTTGCCTAGATGCATTTGTGAGCAACCTGTGACACGCTGTGATTGGTAATGGGCATTGCCCACCCGAGACCAAGGCAAATGCTGGTAATCAAACTCCTTACTACAGGGGTGACCCCCCTGGAACATAAGATGGCCCTGTTGGGTGGTGATCCCGCGGCGAAACACGCAAACGAGGTCTGTTGGTTCTTCACTTGAGGGAGCCCCAACTTGTTCAACATTGATTTTGCCTGCTTGAAGAGGGCTTCGCAGTGGCATGTTCCAAGGAAGGCCAGCGCGGATGTAGCTTGCAGGCAATCCTCTGCCAACTCCTCCTTTGTCGCAGACAGCTCTTCCTCCTGATGGGAGGAAATTGCGCCTATGCATACTCATATGCTCTGAGCAAGGCGAACCTGCGTCCAAGCAGCAAACAACTTGAACATGGTAGAATGGGCCTATTCTCACTCACTCACTCACCCACCTACCCACCTACCCACCCACCCACTCACCCACCCCGCCCGGCCGCCCAGCCGCCCAGCCGCCCAGTCTCCCAGCCAGCCAGCCACCCACCCCAGCTCGGATGGTTGCGCGTGTTCTGGCAGCAAAGGCTGTGCTTTACCAAAGTTTAGCAGGGAGGGAGGTCAGCTGCCCAGGCAGGCAAAATTATGGCAGCACAAGTGCCGGGGCCAATCGTGGTCGTTTGCCCACGTACGAGACCAAACAAACCATGTTTTGGTGGTTGTTCCGTGTAGTGGGAAGGCATATATATGCGGATCCTAGTTGCTGAATAGGTTCCTCGCAAAACGACAAAATGGGCGCTCGTGGGCACGCTCGAATCATGTCAAAATCTCAAAGGTCCAGCAACCCAGCCATGCTTGCTTGGCCACACCAGCCGACTGTTCTGCATTCTCCTTGGAGTCTAAATCCATCTCGAGCTGCTCCACCTGGGGTGGAACACTTCAATTCGTGCTTGCGCGGTGGCCCCCAAAAGAACCCACGCTGCAAGCACATGAAACAGCGACGGGACCAGGTCAGGTCAGGACCTTTGGCCCAAACAAAAGAATCAAACACTAAAGTACCCTCAAGGGGCCCAAAAACAGGGAATTGCCCCCGGTGATGGGTTGCAGCCCTGTTGTGGAAGAACAGGGCAAGACGCGGTATGCCCGGGCTCGGGGTTTGTCGGGGTTGCATCTGCCAAGTCGATAGTCAGGATTGAGTTGCTTCAAGATGAGTTCAGCCAGCCAGCTAAGCTCCGATGCCCATTTGGCCACTGTGACTGTGAAACGATACAGAGTTGGTGACTTCCTGGGTGTTTTCTAACTCTCTGTCTGCCTCCTTCTAGTACATGAGCACACGACTCAAGTGGACGTCCAGTCAAAAGCCCCCTGGACTGCGATTTTCCTTGGCCCTGTTCTGGCCTTCTCTGCACCCGAGTTACACATCCAAGCCACATATCGCTGCAAGGCCTGCACTTGGAGATTCCGGGTTCGGTCCTGGCAAAATCGCAGCGTGTTCCGAGTTATGCATCTGGTCACGCACATGGCGGACTGCCATCCCCCCCCCAAAAAAAAAGAGAGCAACAACTTCCAGTCAGGCACCCCTCCACGGCCAGGCCAAACAATTCCTTGCAGCATATCTCCACGTGTCACTTGACACCAGGGGTAGATCTATAAGCCTGCTGCTCACATGCCCCTGCAAACATTCATTTCGATATCCAATCTACACATGCAGCAGCGCTCAAGTTGCCAGATTGAATGGTGGGCTTTCTCAGCCAAGGTTTTAGTTTGTAGAACACGTTCTTCCTCTTTGAAGGCCAGCCAGCAGGAAGCTTCCGCATCCAATGGAGGGAAGATGCATCCTCCCCTCCCGATGCAGCGCCCGGCCTGCGCATGCTGCGCAACCTGCGAGCGAACCAGCATCTTGATCTGCTGCAGGCTGGCGACGAAACTGTCAGAGCCGTACCTCGTGGCTCAGTGGCTCAGTGCGCCCGGACGCGCCCGGCCAAATGCTGTCAGGACATGTTAGGCTCACGAGGCTCACGAGGCTTCTCGGCTTCTGGGCCCAAAAGTGCCATCTGAGATCCCAGCTCTGGGGCCTCCCGGATGCCCAGGCGCCGGAGTGCCTCATTGCAAGCCATTTCTTCTTCTTCTTTTTTTTTTTTTTTAAAGCCTCTTCTTTTTTTTCTTCTTTTTTTTAAATTCGCGCGTTCACCTTCACTGTCAGCGAAGAAAAGACGAGCTGGTCTTTAAGTGGGAAACCGTGTTGCTTCTGTGTATCCAGTGTTTCAACGTGGTTAAATTGTGCAATTGCCAGCCCAAACGATCACCCACATTTGAACGCATGCACCAAGGCTGCAACCTCAACCTTGCTCTCT